GCCCCTCCCTCAGGTGAACTCAGAGGTTTAACACGTCGTAAAAAAACATGACGAATGTTCTTGTTATGAAAGAAAAAGACGCCTCGCTCCGTCCTGTTTTTACTGGATCAAATAAACCAGAGAGGATCAACGTCCTGCAGGACCCTGTCTTACAGGACTCTGGTCTCCTGCAGGACTCTGGTCTCCTACAGGACTCTGGTCTCCTACAGGACTCTGGTCTCCTACAGGACTCTGGTCTCCTGCAGGACTCTGGTCTCCTGCAGGACTGTGGTCTCCTGCAGGACTCTGGTCTCCTGCAGGACTCTGGACCTCCTGCAGGACTCTGGTCTCCTACAGGACTCTGGATCTCCTACAGGACTCTGGGTCTCCTGCAGGACTCTGGGTCTCCTGCAGGACTCTGGTCTCCTACAGGACTCTGGGTCTCCTGCAGGACTCTGGGTCTCCTGCAGGACTCTGGTCTCCTACAGGACTCTGGATCTCCTACAGGACTCTGGATCTCCTACAGGACTCTGGATCTCCTACAGGACTCTGGGTCTCCTGTAGGACTCTGGTCTCCTGCAGGACTCTGGTCTCCTGCAGGACTCTGATCTCCTACAGGACTCTGGTCTTACAGGACTCTGGTCTCTTACAGGACCCTGGTCTCCTACAGGACGCTGGGTCTCCTGCAGGACTCTGGGTCTCCTGCAGGACTCTGGACCTCCTGCAGGACTCTGGTCTCCTCTGAAGGACTCTGGACCTCCTGAAGGACTCTGGACCTCCTGAAGGACTCTGGACCTCCTGCAGGACTCTGGGTCTCCTGCAGGACTCTGGACCTCCTGCAGGACTCTGGGTCTCCTGCAGGACTCTGGATCTCCTGCAGGACTTCCGGACCTCCTGCAGGACTTCCGGACCTCCTGCAGAACTCTGGACCTCCTGCAGGACTCTGGATCTCCTGCAGGACTCTGGACCTCCTGCAGAACTCTGGACCTCCTCTGCAGGACTCTGGACCTCCTGCAGGACTTCTGGACCTCCTGCANACCTCCTGCAGGACTTCCGGACCTCCTGCAGGACTTCCGGACCTCCTGCAGGACTCTGGACCTCCTGCAGGACTCTGGACCTCCTGCAGGACTTGTCATCAGTCAGGTGACCTAACTGGAACCAAACCAGGTTGAGAGTCTGCAGGACTTTAGGCCTCCTGGTCCACATTCCTTCAGATCCAGGTCTCTGGTCTACCCGGCACGCTTCATCCGAAACCAGTTTTGAGTTCAGGACTCAGTCTGAGAGGATTCACAGAGAGAACTTGGACCTGGATCCTTCTGGGTCTTTGGTCCTGATCCGTTCTGATCCTCAGAGCTGAGGAAGTGAAACTTCAGGTTCTTTACAGGAAGAGAAAAGAAAAGTTTAAATCAAAGTCTTCAGATTTCTCTGCTGGAAGGTTTTTATTTCTCAGGTTGAAGTTTTTATGTTTTACTGAAGTAAAATCTGCAGCAGGAGGTTTCAGAGGAACAGATGAAACTTTATGACTTCTCAGAAGGAGTGGTCTTATCGCCACAGAAACCTAAAAACAGCTGGATTTATCAGCATCAAGACTTTATTTGATTTATTCTAAACAGACAGATTCTCTAATAACCTTAATT